GGCCTCCACTAAGATGCGGAGGCCTGGTCCTGCCTCTGCCCCACTGACCACCCTGGTTTCGGCTCCGGGCTCTGCACCCCTGCCCCCTGCTGCCTTCAACCCTTCCAGGCTGCCCTGAGCACTAGCCACACAGGGGCTGGGGGCCCAGCGCAGGGGATGCCAGAAACAGCCACCCCTGGTTCCTGTTCCCAGGTTGCTCATGGGTTCCGGAGGGCAGGAGAAAGCAGGGCTAGGCGTGCCCCTGAATCAGGCAGGCAGAAAGCCACTAGAACCCAGAAAGAAATACATAGAATGAAGGATGGCGCCTCTAATCATGGGAGAATGAAGGATGGCACTCTCTTTGGGAGGAGTAGTGAGTGGGTGGAAGCAGTCAGATTTATGGAAACTCCGTCCACCCTCTTTTAAAAGCAGAAATGGGGGGAGTATATTCTATGAGGAGGGTGCAAGGCCACGAGGTAGGATGTAATATATCAGCTCCCATTGATTAAGTTCTTACTGGCTGGCATGCATCTGTCTAGCTGGCCTCACTTAGTCCTACATGACCCTGGCAGGAGGCCTTCCTCACCTTGTCTTCAGGGTGAGGGGATGAGGTTCAGAGACTTTAAAAGGAAGCTGTCTAGCATCTCACAGCTCCCAAGGAACACGGTGGGGATGAAACTGCAACTTAACATATACAAAGAAGGATGTGTCCGACGATGATCAGAGCAGCTTTATTCATAACCAAAATGCAGAAACAACCCAAATGGCCATTAATAAGAATGCGTAAGTGTGGTGCAGTCATGCAGTATAATGCAACTCCATTACAAAACACAAAATATAGATATAACAGCAACATGGAGGAATTTGAAAAAAATTATGTTGTATGAAAGACTAGATACAAGAGTGATTCCATTTCTATGAAGTTCAAAGGCAGGTCTACTGAATGTACAGTGATAGAAATCAGATAGTGGTTGCTCCAGGGCTTGGCTGGTAGGAGAACGGTGGGAAAACCATGGAATTTCTCTAAGTCTCTTGCTCTTTTTTTAAGACAAAGATGTAACAGTAATTGTGAGATCCAAATGAAGGGGTAGGAGTGAAGGTTCTGGCACGTGGTCATTATCTCACAATGCCTGAACAGCCCCACAGGATGGGTGGCACAGGGGCTTCATTTCACAGAGGAGGAAACCGAGCTCCAAGAGGTGGGCGGGAAAGTCCAGGCCACACTGCGAGGAGGTGGTGGAGTCAAGGTGCAAATTCTGAGTCCCAGGTCAGAACCCTCCACCCCTGTCCTGCCTGCCCTCCCACTGTCCATCCCCTCCTGCTTTCCAGGTGTGGGTGTCCCTGTCCGGGCCACTTGACCATCATCTCCGTGCCTTACGTACACACCATTTGTCTCTCCCACTAGGCGGCCAGCTCCGTGAGGGCGGGTGTTTCTTTCCCTGCCCTGTCCCAGTGGGGAGAACCATGTCTGGCACAGAACAGACACCACATGACTCTTTGCTGAGTGAATTAATGAAAAAAATGAAAGAATTCCCTAGTAAAAAAAAACAAAGAAAGTGACCCTGGACTCACGGAGGCACAGTGTTCGCGGGGCTGGGATGTCCCGGGGCTGAGCGGGACTCGGACCAGGTCCCTCAGCCCCACTCAGCCCCGCTGCTCCCAAATCCAACAGCTCAGGTCATCAACACCCCCGTCCTCAGCCTCCTGAGAGCATGGGAATCAAATAATCTGGGTCAAAAGTGGAGATGGCTCCATATACTTTTGGCGGGACATCTGCCTGTGGTGCTATTTCTGCCTCAGTTTCTCAGTCTGGCACATGGCACCTGCCACTCTACTGACATGGGTTGAGAAGGATTCGGAAGGAACCTGCAGAGCTGGCCCTTCCTTCATCCTTTCCCCCCCGAGGCGGGCCTGGGCCGGCCTGAGGGGCTCTAGCAACAGCCAGGCACCCCTGCTCTGGGGACGAGGGGGCGGAGGTGCTGTGAGAAGGCACCTCTCACACATGGAGCCTCGGGGGCAGGGCTGGGAGGCCCTCGTTTTCTGACACCATCTCTACAGACTGGACGGGAAAGTAGAGGCCCAGAGAAGGGAAGGGACGGGCCTTGGACATGGAGGGATCAACGGTGGCCCAGGCGGTACAAGAACCTGGGGGTTGCTGCCCAGCTCGGGGCTCTCCTCTCCCTGAGCACAGGTGGCGCCAGGCAAAGGCTCTGTCTGCTCCCCGTGGGCATCGTTCCCCAGCACTGTGCCCGGGCCACGAGGGGCCCAGAGTCTGTGGCTGAGATGGACAGACAGGCCAGGCAGGGCCCCCGGCTCTGACCACAGCCCTGGCCTCCCAACATGCACAGTCCTCAGGACGGGCTCCTAACGCTGCTCAGACACAGGGCCCTGATGGAGGGCCTGTGGGACGTCTTCTGGGTCCTCCGGGCTGCCACTGACCGTCAGGGGCCTGGAGGCACCAGGTCTGGCTTCTCAGGAGCCACGAGGCCAATAAGAGGTGGGGTTGGAGCAACAGGTGTGGAGCCTGGGTGTGGGTGCTGACCCCACAGCCACTCTGCCATTAGCCTCCTGGTGGTTCAAGGGCCTGGAGCTCCAAACAAGGGAAGAATCCTGGTAGGTGTCTAATCCCCACACACTGCCTAGTAATTACCAGGGGAAACTACCCTGGCTGGAGGAGTCCTACCAGTGCAATTAGTACATCAGAATAAAACAGGCCCTCTGACAGCTGGCTGGGCCCGCCCACAGACTGGCCTTCCCCTGAACAAGGATCTGCTTGTTATCCCACAGCATCTGAGAACTTAGATCTTAAGGAAGCATGCAGAGATGGTGTGGGAAGAAGACGGGATTTGGAATCCACAGCCTGCCTGATGTCATGGACATGCTGTGTGGCCCTGGGCTGGCCACTTACCTTCTCTGAGCTCATGAAAAGGGGTAAAACAGCTTCACATGTTGCTACATGGATGAAATGAGGAATTATAAAGCTATGGAACTTCAAATGCTAGTTTTGACCTAAAAATAGGTAGAAACATCTTTAGATGGCTGTTAAAATCTGTCTCTGACTTTCACATGTGTGTAAGATACACGGGGATGTTCCCCTCACATCGGCACTAAGGCTGGGCATCAGCTGGGAGGGACTTGGGTCAGCAGTGACCAGGCGCAGGCTCACCTTACAGGAAGGAGGCTAACTTTGCTCCTGCTCTTCTATCAACTAATTACAACCTGAGGATGCATCAAGCCCTACCACTCCCATTTTACAAGGAGGGTCCTGAGGCTCAGAGAGGGTGAGAGCCTTGCCTAAGATCACACAGCAAAGGCAGGAGTGAACCAGATCCTCCTGAGCTAAGGGCACTGCTTGATTCACAGCAGAAGCTCCCCAAGGCCATGCTTGCCTTGACCCAGGGGATGCCAGGGAAGCAGCACATGGGCTGGGCAGTGACTCGCCCTAATGGCTGGCTCCCCTGGGGGCGTGCTGGGTGTGACAGCACTCACAGCTCTTCTGGTCCTGAGCCCTGGGGCAGCCTGTCCTGAGGCCAGAGCTGCAGCCTCAGTTCCACATACAGTCTCCTTGTTCCCACCCCTGCCCTCCAGCCAGCAAGGCGGCATCCAGAAGCACCGACCCAGTTCCGTTCCCGGCAGTGGGTGACACCAAAGGGTGACAGCTGCCTCCTGCTCACTGCTCAGCTCTGGTCTGTGGGGGACAGAGGCCTCTTTCGCTGGCCCCTCCTCCTGCCCTGGTTTAGGAAGCAAATGGCCGAGCACCCCGCAATACCTGCGCTGCTGTCTCCTGGGTTCCTCTGCCTACACTCCTCGAATGCTCTCTCCACCCAGAAAGCTTACCCTCCTGATGGCAGGAATGTCACCTGGATGTGCCACCAAGCAACCTGGGCCTGTCCTGGCTGGGCCACGCAGAAGCTGTGCTATCCTGGGCGTGACGTCGCCTCTCTGAGCCTTGCTGTCCTCATGGAAGGTGGAGGTGAACATCAGGGCCGACACCAGGCTGAGGGAGGCTTCAGAGCGACGCTGCAGGGGAAGGGAGGCTGCGGGCCTTGGCTGGGGTCCTCTCCTGCCCTCCAGCCCACAGCTCTCCCACCTCCCACTGAGCTGTAGTCCTTGAGTCCCCAGGTCCAGTCTGGTGTCTGCCCCAGCCCAGACCCTGCTCCCCACTGGCCACAGACAGGAGGAAACCTGGATGTGGGACAAATATTCACGACTGTAGATTAAAGAGAGTCTAGTAATGGAAAAGACGTCTTTGAGAACCTTAAGGGTAAATGGCTCCATAATCTGGAGTAAACTCTGCAGAGAGGAAAAGCTGGCCTGGGCCTGGGAGATCAGTCAAGGCCCCAGCTGCCCACAGGCCTGGGTGCTCACTGCATGCCAGGCCCCAGCTGCCCACAGGCCTGGGTGCTTACTGCATGCCAAGCCGAGTCCCCAGTTCTGGCCCAGGGGACCATCCACAGACTGCCCCACTGCGCGGAGACTTCCCCACACGGTCCCCTGACAGCCGGGCTCCACCTTCACCAAGGCTCCCGCCCGGGGAACAACTGCTGGGACTGGACTCAAGATCTCTGGGCTGTCCTCCCAGCCCGTGATGATGTGAGCGGGATTTTCCGCACCGCACTTTGTCCCTTTACTCGGCACTGCCCTTATCATGGTGACAGCATCACAGCCGGTTACTCATCCAGACTGTCTCCTGGCACTGCCCACGTCCACCCCGGGTCCTGCCCGTGGGTGTGGGGGGCTCGGTGAATGTGCGCCCCTGGGACTCACATTCCTGCATCGGCCTGCGGCTCCCACATCATCAACCCCGCACGCCTTAGACCTCACCTCCCTGACCCCGGCAGTCCCCACTCCCTGTGAGTTCGTGTCCACCACAGGGGGACCCCCAGCCCACGGCAGGGCGCTCACACTGGCCCAGGTTGTGTGCATTCCCCGCAGCTGGCAGTCAGGCCCTCGGGGGCCGCTCAGCGTGAAGGCCGCCCGGCCACCGCGGGGTCACCGCCCATCCCGGTGACCGCACTCACCCATGTTGACGAAGCTCATGACCAGGTCGGCGCGGCCCAGGCTCCGCGCGGGGGCCCCGCCGTCCTCGTCGCCGGCCATGGCGTGGTAGAGGTCCAGCATGAAGAGCGGCGCGGACGCGGGCAGCCGGGCGGCGTCGGGGGGCGCGCGGGGCCGGGGCCGCCCGGGCAGCCCGAGCACCGCCAGGATCTCGCGCTGCATGTCGCGCCGCTCGCGCGGGCCCAGGCGGCGCTGCGGGCAGCCGGGCGGGGGGCGCGGGCCGGGGCCGCCGCCGCTCAGCGCGCACAGCGCCAGGCCCAGCAGCCAGAGCCGGCCGGGACACGCGGCCATCGCGGGCGGCGCCGGGCCGGCGCTCACCGGGCGCGCATCCGCTCCGCGGCCCGAGACGCCAGACGGCGAGCGGCCGGTCCGACTCGGGTCGCGGGACGGGGCGGGCGTCGGCCGCGACCGCAACGCTGTCGCTGGGAGCGCCCCCCGCGGGCACTTGCCGCAGCTCTGCGCGGTGAGCACGCGGTCGTCGCCGCCGCACGGCAGGGGCAACCCGGGGGCCTGGGGCTGTCGGCTACGCTTTGCGTCGTGGCCGTGCCGTCGGCCCCACTGCTGCCGAGACCCGCTTAGCGGCAGGGCGGCGGGACCTCCCGCGGGCGCATCCTCTGCAGACCAGCCGTCTGTGCGGTGCGCCACGCCGCGCGGCCGCCGGCCTCTGGTCCTGGCCCTGCCGTCGGGTCCCGCCCCCGCCAGACCAGACCAATGGGAGAGCAGGGGCGGGGCCAATGCCGTGGAACCACCGCCCCGGCCGCGCTTAGGCGACTCCGAGATGATACCGGCTGCTGGGTGGTGGCAGGTTAGCTGGGTGGTGGGCAAAGCCGTCCGAGCCGTTCCCCCAGCCTCTGGCCGCGCTCAGGGGATCCCTGGGTGACGGCGCATCCGGCGTAACCAGGACCCTGCGCTCCCGCGGGGCATGTCCTTGAACGTCCTGGCCCTGTAGGGGATCCCGAGTCTCCGTAGGGCTCCCCGAGTGACCCAGCGGCCCCGCCCTGGCTCGCAGAGTGTCGTCCCAGGATCCAAAACCTCTCGGTCGGGTCTAGAGAAAGAGGATCCCCGGGGGTGAAGCCGTGCCCGCGGAATGGGACACATTTCTCTGCCAGCAGTGACGGCCCAGGTTCCCCCCAACCGCGGCTTCTTGACGACGCCTACCCCGCTGTTCCCCTGTGTGCGCTGCTGGGGGCTTTTCTTTCCTGGACACCTGCTCCAGGCGCACCCACCCCCACCTGGCTCCCGCGTGCTCCCGGTAGCGCAGTTTTCCAGCATCCGCGTGGTCACCGCCGGCTCTAGCTGTGCGTCCTGCGGCCCCCCGGCGCTGATCCAGCTATGCCCGGTAGATGCACATCTCCTCCAGCGGGGGCCCAGGAGCTCTGGGGCCCTTCTGGAGCGCCCGGAAAAAGCCTTTGTGCATCTTAATTGTCATGGCCTCAGCGGCTTGCAAAGTAATGCTCCTCATGGAACTCCTCAAACGACCAATCCAGGGAGCATAATAAAGGCAGGTAATAATTAGCACTTACCATGTGCTAGGCATGTTCTGTGTGTGTCCTCTATCACCTCTTTAATGCTCACACATTGTAGGGTAGATTCCATTTAAGCCCCCTCTTTTAACAGATGAGGAAATTGAGGCACACAGAGGTTAAGGGACCTCCCCCTGCCATGCAAGGGTGGAATGGGGCTGGGGCAGGTGGGCACATGCAGGTGAGTTGTCCAGTGGAGCCTGGAGCTCGAGTGGAGTGGGGTACATGGTGAGGCTGAGGCTTGGGTTCTGCAAGGGAGGGACCACAGTATACAGACACCATGATGATGGTGCCCCAATGTGGAGTCAGGTTAAACCTCAAAGTAAGTGTATGATGTCCAATGAAATTCATTTTCCCATAGTCACTTCAAAATACACTTAAATATCAAATAAATTCTTAATCATTTGCTGGTGCCTTAACCACATGCCTAGTCTGTCTTACCCAACAGGTAGATTCCCACACCACATCTCAGGCCCAATAAGGATGCGGAACTTTATCATACAGATGATGCATTGAAAGTGCCCCAGGTGAGACCAGAGCCTGGATGCAGAGGGGACCTGGGTTGGAGGGAAGGAGGTTGGAGGCACACCCACAGCGGGACAGAGTGGAAGCAGTGGGAGGGCTGGGAGGGAGACAGTGGCCATGGGTGGCGGGCAGAGGAGAAAGCTGTGAGGAGGCTGAGTCCACAGCACTTGGTGCGGAGGCAGAGAGCAGTAAGACGGTGTCTCTGGTTTGCTCAGGGTCTCTGAATCTTCTGCCACCTTCGCTGACCTTTTCTGTGACCCTGGGCATCCCTTTGCATTCTCCTTGAAGTCTATGTCACATCATCTGGGGCCTCAGATCTAACCTGTAATTGTGTACTGTGCAATGCTGGGCTCTCAGTTAAGACTGTAGGCAGCCCAGTGCTGGGCTGATTCTTCTGACAGAAATCACGTACTTCGTTAGGATGAGTGGAGATAGCTGCTTTCTTTAACCAATAGGCCTCACATTCCCATAAACCCTAATACTGGGTTTTAAGTGTCCCAAAGGGCATCACTGCACAATTCAATTCAGCAACCACCACCTCAGGCTGCTCTGTGCTGTGCCCTGAGCCAGACATGAAGCTGCCCAGTCCTTATCCCTGAGGGCCCCCACTCTAACAAATGTGACACTGGGGTGAACATTCCAAAGGTGGAAAAAAGGCTGTGCTCTGACAGAAGGGCCAGCAAATTGCCTGAAGTGTAGGAGACAAGGAGTTAGGAAATGGGGCTGTGGATATGGGTGGAATCCCGGAACTCCAGAACTGGAAGGCAGCTGAAGGGAAGGTTTCTTGGAGAAAGGAGTATCATACAAGGGCTTTCCCCAGTCATTGGGCAATGCTGGGACATTGGGCCAGTTACTTAACCTCTCTCAGGCTCTCATCTGTAAGTGGCACTCATCATCTGTGGATCATAGGATTGTATTGGAGATTAAATGGGATGTAGAGAGAGCACTTAGCACAGTGACTGGCATGTAGTAAGCATTCAGTAAATGTTAGCTGGTACTGTTGCATCATTCAAGACTCTAAGATCTTGCATCTGTCTTTGTCCAAGACACCAAGTTGGCATCACTTGTTTAGTACTGTATCACATAATGGTATTGTTTTCTTAAGCCATTTCCTGGAATTCCAAAATTTCCTACATGGTCTTTCATACAGGTGTTTATTGAGTGGAAATATACTTTCTGTAGATTCCACTACTAGCTGAACTTTGTTGCAAAGGATGAGGCAAAACCTGAATTACATGGTAAGAAACACAAGTGACCGACTGCAGTCCAGACTCTGAAAAGATGGAGTTCAAGCTGTTTTTGGCATTCTGCTGCTGCAAAAGAGGGGAAAGCAAATTTGGGTGAAAATAACTATCCTACACAAAATTCTGGCAGCTTTAAGTTACTTAATTCCAGGGAAAAGAGAGAAGCACTTCCTTCTGACTCTGCCAGGCTGCAGATTCCTTTTAATCTGGATATTTGGCCTCAGTTTTGGCAAATGTATCCATCTTACCAATTCCTGATCATAAGAGTGTGGCTAATGATCAAAAACACAGATGACCTGAAGTGAACCCCTCTTACCTCTCAAGTTCTTTTGTTACTACCTAGCTGAACTCCTGTTGTTAGAATCAGTTAATAATTTGGCTCTTCTAATTATTATAAAGCCAACTAGAAGGTGGAAGAAATAGGAATGCCAGACTTGAATAGGGAGTCAAAGATTTGATTCAAGGTCCACTTTTGCTATTTATTAATCCTACGATCTCAGGCAAATCACTTTTTCGTCCACTTTCTCTTACCAGTTTCTCCATCTGTAAAGCAAAGGAGCTAGGTTTGATGACTAATTTTGCTTCTATCTCTGAAATTCTGCCAGTTTAACCGGAAATTTCACATACTGTGGGAAATTGGCTCCATTCTCTCCAATACCAGGATATTTGTGATTTATGATACAGAAATCTTACTGATATTTGTTTAATCACGTAAGTGGGGCAGATGCTCCATAGATCTATGTTAACAGCCTGATTTTTTCTTTCCTGCCTTGTAAGTACAATTAACAAGGGTAAAATAAACCAAAAATATCTATTAGTTAGTTCCAGAATTGATGAAGTGTTTGATTTGAGTAATGCATTTAAGTACTTAAAACACAATCATACCCTCAGAGTAACATGTTACACATAAGGTAAAAGTTGAGAAGAAAATCAGGAAATACAAAACATTTGTTACTGCAAGCAACTTTAATACAAAAGTGTGTCTTGTTTTTAAACAGTTCATTGGTAGAGCTTCAGTTTCTGCCTCAATTAAAACCAATTGAGATAATCACACAGCAACATGGTCGGTGCTGAAGAGGAACAGCAGCTAAAGAACAGGAGCCCCAGACAGCTCCTCTTCATAGCCACTTGGTCAGTTGACTTTATTACACACAGAAAAAGACAGAAGCAAACGGGACTGGTTAACAAGTGTGCTGGTGAACTCCTTTAAAGGACAAGCAAGTGTTTGTTTTATGTCCACATTTTCAGAATAGGCTTATGGAACTCATTCCTCAGTTTGTGGGAAGTTGATGGACTAGTTAAAATAAATAGCAAAAAATGCAGGTAACAGATCTATAATTCACAATGCCACCAAGAAGTCTTCCCTTGCCAAGGGTCTGGGTCTTGGTGAGCATGAGAGTTATTGGTGGCTGGGCTGGATAGAAGTTATGAGCCTGGACTCTTAAAAACCCCAATGTTCTGACATTTTCTGAACAATTACAATTACCCCTGAATTCTAGCAGCTATTTGTCCTTTAAACACTCAGTACTGGAACAGTATTCAAAGACAGTATTGCAATGAACTCCTTTTGCTGTAATATCAAGTGCAAATGTTACCTAGATGAGGTTCCCTCTCTTTAGCTAAAATCACACATTAAAAACAATGGAAAAAGCAATTAGAAGTGCCCTCCCCTTAGTTCTTGCTAATTGAGGTGTCTGATTTACAAAAAAAGAGTTCCTTAAACACTTCAGGATTCTTATTATTTTTTTAAATATAATTTATCTTGCTGAGACAGCAAGTCAAGTTTATAAAGAAGATGCATTTAGGAATAATCCTAAAAGATAAAGCAGGTTTATAACCCTGCACCGCGCAGAAACCCTAGAGGCTTTTCTTTTCTTTTTTTAATACACATTCTTATCTTGACCTTTTCACTTGTTCTTCTCAAATATTTCATTTCTGGGCCCCATCCATTGCAGGGTTACCAGGAGGCAAATTTTATCTACATAAATATTCACATGAA